CCTGTAATCCTAGTTGCTTGGGAGGCTGAGGCAGGAGAATCCCTGGAACCTGGGAGGTAAAGGTTGTGGTGAATTGAGATTGTGCCATTGCACTTTAGCCTGGGCAACAAGAGCGAAACTCCATCTCAAAATAACAACGACAACAAACAAACATTTCCATGTATAACAATGTAAACATTTCAGACTTTCATTTCTTTACTTTTGTTTCTTTCTGAATAATTTTTCTGTTCTCTTCCTCTGATTTAAAGTTAAAAACTATCTACAAAACTATATGTAAAATGCAAATATTGATGCTATACATGACCTTATAATTTAAGTCAAAACATTTTAATAAAGTATCAATAAGGCAGTTTATATAATCACATGAGATTATATATTACTTCACTTTATGGCATATGACATCATTTGTTCTCAAGGTTGTCTTTGTTTTTCATCCATTATTATTAATATGGATGAATATGACACACCTTATATTTCAAATAAGCTATAGTTCTTCATTTTTTTTCCTTTTTTTATTTAGGGAAGATTGTTTTTCATTGGCTTTGAGAACTTAACAGGTATTTAATTAAATGTCGATTGTATGGTACATTGGTGACCATCAAACATTATGTCTTGCAGCAGGCAATTAAAAAGCGCACAATATTCTAAATGAATTTTTAAATACTTTTTTTCAATCATTAAACACAGTTACCAAGCCATATTTTGTAAATGTAAAACACTGGAGTTCTTGCAAGTATGTTCGTCACAGTCATTTTTATTGATGATCTATCTGAGCTTCATTTCCTAGCTGAGAAACCTTGTCGGTCAATTTATTCCAACATAACACCGTTTGGTTGGGTGGTTATTAATCCTGTAATTGTTCACGGCATGCCAGAAATAATTCAGTTAATTATTACAATATGTCTTACTTTGCTGTGTTTTCCGTGTCAAAATACCCTTTGCATATATTGGAGAAAAATCAGATGCTTATTTTAATTCTAGACATAAAAATTGATTACTAACTAAAAATATAAAAGACAGACTTTTTTTTGTTTGTCCTATATAGAATATCTGCTGGCCTAAATGAAGATTGATGAATGATAATATCATAATTTTAATCGATCCACCACCTCTACTTTCTGAAAGAATCTGACTCATCTTAACGGAATATTAGTTTGAATTAAGTGCCACAGTACAACAATTCACTCTAGTTTTTTTTAAAAAGGTTTCTTTTTTTCCAGTCCAATATATGGAAATAGAGCTAATGTCTACAGTTCCATTATAATCACGAAATTAAATGTTGTGCAGTTATGTAAAAAGTTGTGATGATGTATATAACTTTCATGCACAGAATTAAATTTGGTTAAAGGTATTTGGGGTTGGATATGCCTGAATGGTTTCCAGAATGTAAGATCCTATCAATAAAACATAATAATGTATGGATTATTATATTCTAACACTCACAACAGGTTATTTTAGTTCACTGTGGAAATGGAAAATGCAATATTCATTATGCAGCATTGCACTTGCATTAAAGCAAGTTCAGCAGAGGCCTTCCAGAAGAGAAGAGACTATAACCATTGCTTTATAGTTAGCTTCTTTAGTTAGCCTGTTACTTACAATAATAAAATGACCACATGCTTGTTGACCAAATTAACACCCCCCTCTGTAGTTAAAGGAACTACACTAATAATTGCCTTTGGTGAAATAACCTAAAGAAATTTAAAAGATAAACCTAAAGATATTTCATCCCTGTTGATGGTGGTGGGGAAGTGTAGAAGCGAACAAACAAATACATTTTGTTTTATAAGATAAAAATCTCAGGCATTAAGTTAGAAACTATGAAGTTAGCTGGAGATCACTTTGGAGTAAGTTTGACTCTAGACAAATAGTTTTGTGAGTTTAGGCAAGACCCTACATTTTAAATTATGTACAAAAATGGCAAACCTGTTTTTCAGGTTGGACATAAATATGAGATGAAGTAATATATGATAACATATATCTTTTATAAAAACCTTTTAAGCATTGTACATATGTAAAAGATGGTAAGATTATACATTCATACCTGTACTATTCAGAATTACACACCAGTGTTAATACATATTTTTAATTAACTGATCTATTCATTAGTTCCATTACCTACTGGTTTTTCTGAAGTACTGCATAGATTAGTATATTGCATTTTTGTTATATGTGATTGTAGGAGATTAAGAATGTATCTGGTTTTTGTTTCCAGTTCCTAAGGCAGAGCTTCAAAAACCCTTGGAATTTCCTGAACGAAAGGAGTATCTTTGCTATGCTAATGAGGTAACTCTTGGTGGGCCCCTAGATAGCTTCAAGATGAGGACTGGTCACTGCAAAGGCAGACCAAATGATTAGAACTTTGGGATATGCCAACCTCCAGGGAAGAGAGGGGTTCTGGAGATTGAATTCAATAATGTGACCAGCCATTTAAGCAATCATGCCCACCCAGTGAAATCTCAGTAAGAACTCTGGACATAGAGTCTCAGTAGAATATACTTAATGGTTAATTTACTTTTGTGCAGAGAGGGTGATGTACCTTGGCACCACTGGGACAGAATCTGAAATCTCTGTATCTGAGACTTTCCCAGTCCTCACTCTCTCTGTCTCTTCCTCATTTGCTATTCCTGAGTTGTGTCCTTTATAATAAAACTATAATCATACTTATCACACTTTCTTGAGATAATTGTTGAACTAAGAAGAAAGCCTTGAATTTACAGCTTGTCAGGTCAAAGTATGGGAAGCCCCTGAGACTTGTAGCTGGCATCTAAGGTGAGGCCAGTTTTTGGAGGATTGAGCCCTTAAACCTGTGAGTCTAACACTAAGTCAGGGTAGTTTATGCCAGGATTGTGTTATAGTACACCCACTTGAAATGGAAATAGAACATTTATGATAGAAAAATAAATAGCACATTTCTCCCAGACATAATGCTATGATTGCAAACTAAAAAAATAAAATCCCTAAGACTTCTTATAAAGACTGTCCAAAATACCATATTAAATATTTGAGCAAATATAAACTCTACATGGCATAAACTGTATTGATATAAATGAGCTGAATTAGGCCATTTAATTGGCTATTGTTAAATTTGCAAATGTAATTATATTTTTTAACTCATTGACTTTCAGTAAATACATGTGCCAGAATTTTCAGAGACAGTGTGGTGGGATGTTTAATAGGATAAGAAGGCTATAAAAATATTTTTAAAATACCATAGTCTTTTAAATGCAGACTAAAATTTAAATAATCAAAATTTCCAAGGAATAAAAACAAAGATGAAACAAAAACGCTGTAGCTATTCTATTAGAGAAAGGGGTGAGAATGGTGGTAAGGTGTTGGTTTAGGCAATATGTGTGCTGAGGTGTTAATGCTCATACACAGCCAGGGAAAAAGATGTGAAGCCCACACATTTAAGAGCTGAAAGTGAGGTCCTGCTTAAAGATAGATTCTTTGAGAGCCTTCATGCTCAATTAAAATGTGTACTAGGAAGAGAAAAAAAAAAAACTCCTTTTTTTTTTTTTAAACCTGCAACTCTGATATATTTTATAATCTGATCTTTTCATTGAATATATTAAAAATGTATTAATGGGCTTGTAAAAAAAATACAAAGTATACTCAGAGACCAAAAACCATGTCAAATCATATTTCCTAGAGTAAACAGAGCACTGCAGTTGGCTTTAGCCTTAAGAATATTTGTGTCACATGGTAGAAAAATGGCATAAAATACCCTAAAAAATATCCTACCAGTGTATTGGCACAAATGATATAAACCTGGTCTCCATGAGATTCCACTTTAGAGATGTTGCCTGTTTTGAAGTTTGGTGCTTAGGAGAGATGAGAGACTGCCCTGTAAATTCGGATATAAATACTGGACCTCAAGTGGAAGTGCAACTTGAATTCACACTACGTGGCAGGCCAGATAAACTCATGACAGCTACCTGGCAGCTCGAAAAATGTTCTTTCTGGTAGAAATCACATTTCATACCAGGACACAGATAATTTGCTATATCAAATTTTAAGAACTATGTGATCTCACTGTGAAAATTTCAGAATATACAAATGAACAAATAATTATGGTATAAAAAGCATATTTTTTTCTTAAAAGGTCAGAATGTTATATTGTTGACTCTTTGTCCTCTCCAAATCTCATGTTGAACTATGATCCCCAATGTTCAGAGCGGGGTGCAGTGGAAATGTTTCAGTCAAAGGGGTGGAACCTTCATAAATGGCCTGGTTCCCTTCCCCTGGTAATGAGTGAGGTCTTGCTCTATTAGTTCATAGGAGGGCTTGTTGTTTAAAAGAATCTGGCACCTTCTCTCTTTTGCTTGCTCCCTCTCTTGCCATGTGGCATGCAGGTTACCATTACCTTCTGCCATGATTGTAAGCTTTCTGAAGCCGTCACCAGAAGCAGATGCTGGCACCATGCTTCTTGGATAGTGTGCAGAAATGTGAGACTAATAAACCTCTTTCCTTTATAAATTACCCAGCCTGAAGTATTCCTTTATAGCTATAATAGTTCATTCTATTTTTTCTTTTCTTTTTTTATTGTATTTTAGGTTTTGGGATACATGTGAAGAACATGCAAGATTGTTGCGTAGGTACACCCATGGCAGTGTGATTTGCTGCCTTCCTCTCCATCACCTATATCTGGCATTTCTCCCCGTGCTCTTGAACTGCTGTAAAGAAATACCTGAGACTCAGTAATTTATAAAGAAAAGAATTAAGTGACTCAGTTTCTCAGACTGCACAGGAAACATGAAGGCATCTGCTTGGCTTCTGGGGAGGCCTCAGGAAACTTTCAGTCATGGCAGAAGGCTAATGGAAGGCCAGGCATCTTACATGGTAGAGAATGAACAAAAGAGAGAAGAGGTGCTACACACTTTTAAACAACCAAATCTCATGAGTACTATTGCCATGACAACACCAAGAGGGATGGTGTGAATCCATGAGAAACCACATCCATGATTCAATCACCTCCAACATTGGGGATTACAATTTGACATGAGATATGGTTTGGACACAGATCCAAACCATATCAATAGTAACACAAAACAGACTAATATAAAAATAAATTCCTCCAGAAAAGGAAAGATAACTGGACCATCAGCTAAGTGTGATGCCAAGAGGTTTGCCAGCTCTGTGTTAGGTCTGAGTAAATATATTATTGAAAGTTTCCCAGAAAATTAGTAAACCTGGAAATGTATTTTACATCATATGGGGGTGGGGGTATTATATTTACACTATTTGCATAATCCAGGAATCTAAAATGTAGGAATTATAATGTTGGCCTTCCCCAATGGTGCCCATGTGGGAACTAGATGAAGACAAGGAGCAATTGCTCTATGTAAACAATACCTGAACTCAGTGTGCACAGTAGTCTCACCCAGAGATGGTGAGCTTACAATCTCAAATTAAAAGTACATGAGAAATAAACATACTCCAGATAAAAGCCATTGGAAACAACAAACAGCCATAATAAATGAGGAAAAATGTTTTTTTGATGGATAATTTGAGACTTAAAAAAAAATGTGCTAAAAATCATTGCGACAGGGGAATGGTGCTAATCAAGTGGCAGATAGAAAGCTCCTGACCTCATTTCCTCACACAGACAACAAATTAACAGTGTACACTTCAAAAAGCCTTTGTGAGAACTCTAGGAATCAGGTAGGGAGTCACAGTACCCCAAGCAAGCTCAAGGCCAAGAACAGCCATGTTGAAGTTTAAAAAAAAAAAAAAAAAAAAAAAAAAATTTTTTTTTTTAAATTATATCAGCCCCTCCTCCATGCTGACACAGTTTGCTGCAGTAAGGAGGAAAAGCCTAACTCATATCTTCTCCCAGGGAGGAGAAACAAAAAGCGAAACATGCCTAATGTTCCAGCTTTATGGTGGGCTGCCTCGGGGATGGGCTTCTGGTTTGCCTGATTTAGAGTGTCTATAGGTAACTCACACACTTTGGATGTCTGGGGACTGCTGAGGACAAAAGAAAGTTAAGCAACTAATTGCAGGGCTAGAGAAACTCTAATACCACAGACAGAAGCTGTTAATACTCACCATGATTAGGAGTGAGTGCCCAGCATGTGGTTTATCCTTTGGGAGGAAAAGAGAAGAGTAAATTACACATCCACTCCTTTTACTTTTTGGAGGGCTTCCTGAGTTTCCCTCAACTGACTCAGAGTACTGTTTGGTAATCCCAGCTACTCAGGAGGCTGAGGCAGGAGAGTTGCCTGAACCCAGGAGGCAGAGGTTGCGGTAAGCCGAGATCGCGCCATTGCACTCCAGCCTGGGTAACAAGAGCGAAACTCCGTCTCAAAAAAAAAAAAAAGAAACAGCATCTTTTCTATGCATGGAAGCTACAGAGAACAATATAGAGCCCAGCATTTTGTGGCAGCTCCAGAAAGCCTGTGGTAACACAGACAGACACCAGAGGAGGGAAGAAATTATAAACTTCTGAAAGAGAAATTAACAAATGTCTCATATTGTGACACAATATAGTCACAAGAGCAGAGAAGTATTCCCATAAAAGGTTTGAAAGGACCATAGAATGCCTAGCCAGGGTGACTGATTGGGGAAGGCCTTCCATTATGAGAAGCTACTACTGTAAAGACTGGAAGAGGCGGCTGTTTTTTCAACTGGACAAATCACAACAACTGCAGAAGTAACAAGGCACACAAGAAAGAAGGAAGCATGGCTTATCTTTCAACAGAAAGACCCCAAGACCATACTGGAAAGAAATCATAATAAAAATCACAATACCACTCTCACCACTTTTATTCAATGTATTACTGGAAGTCTTATTTGGAGCAATAAGGTAAAAAAAAAATTAGGAAATTTTTAAAAGTCATCCAAATTGGAAAGGAAGTAAAATGAAATCTCCTGGCAGATGACACAATCTTACATGCAGAAAACCCTTAAGATTCCACAATAAACTTACTAGAACCAATAAATCCAGCAAAGATACAAAATAGAAAATCAACACACAAATTAAACTGCATTTCTCTACAGGGATAGCTAATTACACTTCATTTTATCGTGGTTTTGTAATTTTATTAGTGCAGTTTTTCCAACGACATGCGCTCACTTCAAATTTCTATGCCACATTTTTGTAATTCTCACAATATTTCAAAAGTTTTGTTATTATTTCTGTTAGGGTGATCTGTGATCAGTGATGTATGATGTTACCATTGTAATTGTTTTGGGACATCATGCTCTGCACCCTTTTTAAGATGACTAATTTAATTGATAAATGTACTTGTTCTGTTTCAAAAACCACCTGTTCCCCAATATCTTTGCCTCTCCATGGCCTCTCTATTCCCTGAAATACAATTGAAAATAGGCCAATTAATAATCTATACATTAATAGCCTGTACATTAAAGTGAAAGAAAGTGACACTAGCTCAATTCAGATCAAAAGCTAGACATGATTAAACTTAGTGAAGATGGCATGTCAAAACCTGGAATAGGCTGAAACCTAGGCCTTTTGTAGCAAAGTTGCGAATGCAAAGGAAAAGTTCTTGAAAGAAATTAAAAGTGTTACTCTAGTGAACACAGCCTTATTGCTGCTATAACAAAGTTTTAGTGGCCTGGATAGAAGATCAAGCCATGGACAACATTCCCCCAAGCCAGAGCCTCATCCAGAACAAGGCTGTAATTCTCTTCAATGTTATGAATGTTAGGAGAGATGAGATGAGGAACCTTGCAGTTTGAAAGCTAGCAGAAGTTGGTTCATAAGGTTGAAGGAAAGAAGTCATCTCCAGAACACAAAAGTGCAATGTAAAACCACAAGTGCTAATGGAGAAGCTGCAGCAACATATCCAAAAGCCTAATTAAGATAATTGAGGCCAACAAACATATGAAAAAATGCTCATCATTACTGGTCATCAGAGAAATGCAAATCAAAACTACATTGAGATACATCTCACGCCAGTTAGAATGGTGATCATTAAAAAATGAGAGAACAGGTGCTGGAGAGGATGTGGAGAAATAGGAACACTTTTACACTGTGGGAGTGTAAATTAGTTCAACCATTGTGGAAGACAGTGTGGCGATTCCTCAAGGACCTAGAAATAGAAATTCCATTTGACCCAGCAATCCCAAAACTGGGTATATATCCAAAGGATTACAAATCATTCTACTATACGGACACGTGCACAGGAATGTTCATTGCAGCACTGTTTACAATAGCAAAGACCTGGAACCAACCCAAATGCCCATCGATGATAGACTGGACAGAGAAAATGTGGCACATATACACCATGGAATATTATGCAGCCATCAAAAAAGATGAGTTTGTGTCCTTTGTAGGGACATGGATGAACCTGGAAACCATCATTCTCAGCAAACTGACACAGAGCAGAAAATCAAACACCGCATGTTCTCACTCATAGGTGGGTGTTGAACAATGAGAACACATGGACACAGGGAGGGGAGCACTACACACTGGGGTCTGTTGGGGGGAAATAGGGGACGGACAATGGGGTGTTGGGAGTTGGGGAGAGATAGCATGGGGAGAAATGCAAGATATAGGTGATGGGGAGGAAGGCAGCAAATCACACTGCCACATATGTACCTATGCAACAATCTTGCATGTTCTTCACATGTACCCCAAAACCTAAAATGCAATAAAATTTAAAAAAAGATAATTGATGAAAGTGGTGACAGTAAGCAACAGATTTTCAGTGTAGGCAAAGCAGCCTTATATTGGAAGAAGACACCGTCTAGGACATCTACAATAGCCTGTACATTTAAGTGAAAGATCATAGTGTTTCTTTCTCTTCTTTTGCTATGGAAGAGAAGTCAATATCTGGTTTCAAAGTTTCTAAGGATAGGGTGACTCTCTTGTTAGGGCCTAATGCAGCTGGCGAATTTAAGAAGCCAATGCTCATTGACCATTCTGAAAATTCTAGGGTCCTTAAAAATTATCTAAATTTACACTGTGAGTGCTCTATATAGATGGAACAACAAAGCCTGGATGACAGTATACCTCTTTATAGCATGCTTTACCAAACATTTTAAGCCTGCTGTTGAAACCTACTGATCAGAAAAAATATATATTTCTTTCAAAATATTACTGCCTACTGAAAATTCATCTAGTCACATAAGAGCTCTGACAGAAACATAAAAAAAGATGAATAATTAATTTCATGCCTGTTAACACAACATGCATTTTGCAGCCCATAAATCAAGCAACTTCAATGCTCAAGTCTTATTATTTAAGAAATACATTTCATAAGGCTGTAGCTGCCACAGATAGTGATTCCTTTAATGGATCTGGGCAAAGTAAATTGCAAATCTTCTGGAAAGGATTGAGCATTCTGGATACCATTAAGAATGTTCATGATTGGAGGACAGATCCAAGATGGCCATTTAGGAACAGTTCAGGATTGTAGCTCCCAGTGAAAGTGCAGTGGGTGAGTGGACACTGCATTTTTATTGCCCACAGAACAGGAGATTCCCAGGCAGAGGAGCCCCACAGGTCACCAGTGTGGCTGTTTTGGTTGGCGCGGGGGCCTGCGCCCCGGCACGGTGGTTCTCCATACAAAATACAGTGGTCCAGATGCCCTTTTAGCTGGTGATTAGAGCTCCATGAAGTCACCCATTCATCTGATTAAAAAGGGGGCTGAACAGGGAGCCAGGCCAGGAGATTCCTGGGCAAAAAAAGCGCCACGAATCTCAGTGCCACTGTTTAAGCTGGTGCAGTGAGTCGCTGCATGGGAAATCACACAGATCCAGGTGCCTTTTCAACAGGCGACTGGAACACCTGGGAGAGAGTTGACTGTTCAACTAAAAAAAAAAAAGGCTCTGAGGCAGGGAGCCAGGTGACCAGGCTCGGCTGATCCCACCCCCACAAAAGAACTGCAATCAGAAACTCTCTGGATTGAGAGTTTCACGGCAAGCGCAGCTGAGCCCGGGATGGTCCAGCTCTGTGGGGGAGGGGCGTCCGCCATTACCGAGACACTCCACCACTTCGGAGGTAGTTTGTCATTGCTGAGGCTGCCTGCCATTGCCAAGGTAACCTGTCATTACAGAGAGAGTCAGCCAACATAGAAGTGGGCCACCATTGCCGAGACAGTTCTAACAACACCCATATAAACGGGACTGCAGGGAAGTTCACATGGCAGCAGGGCGGAGCCCACAGCAGCTCAGCAAAGCCTCTGCCGGCAGACAGTGACTAGGCTGCCTCCTTGCTGGGTAGGGCAGCCCTGAAACAAAAGGCAGCAGCACAATGGAAACTCATAAATAAAGCCCTAACTCCCTGGGACAGAGCACCTGGGAAGAAAAAGCGGTTTATGAGTTCTGCTGCAGCAGACCTAAACGTACCTGCCCAGCAGCTCTGAATGAACAACAGAGCTCACAGCTCAGCACTTGAGCTCCTATAAAGAACAGGCTGTCTCCTCAAGCAGCTCCCTGACCCCAATAGAGTCACCTTATAAAGGAGAGATCAGACTGACATTTGGTGGGTATCCTTGTGAGACAAAGAGTAGAAGAAGAAACTTGTAGCAACCCTGACTGTTCTGCAGCTTCTGCAGGAGATCCCCAGGCAAGCAGGGCCTGGAGTGGACCTCAGCAGCCCTACAGCAGAGGGGCCAGACTGTTAGAAGGAAAACTAAGAGACAGAAATAACTTCATCATCAACAAACAGAACATCCACCAAGAGACCCAATTTGAAAGTTGGCAGCTACAAAGATGACAGGTGGATAAATCCACAAAGATGGGAAGAAACCAGTGCAAAAAGGATGAAAATACCCAAAATCAGAACACCTCTTTTCCTACAAGGGATCACAACTCCTCACCAGCAAGGGAACAAGGCTGGATGGAGAATGAGTGTGACAAAAGGACAGAATCAGGCTTCAGAAGGTGGGTAGTAAGAAACTTCTGTGAGCTAAAAGAACATGTCCTAACCCAATGCCAAGAAACTAAGAACACTGAAAAAAGATTTGACGAAATGCTAACAAGAATGGACAACTTAGAAAGGAATATAAGTGAATTGATGGAGCTGAAAAACACAACACGAGAACTTCGCGAAGCATGCACAAGTATCAACAGCCGAATTGACCAGGCAGAAGAAAGTATATCGGAGGTTGAAGATCAACTCAATGAAATAAAATGAGAAAGCAAGATTAGAGAAAAAAGGGTAAAAAGGAATGAACAAAGTCTCCAAGAAATGTGAGACTATGTGAAAAGACCTAATCTATGTTTGATAGGTGTACCTGAATGCAACGAAGAGAATGAATCCAAGCTGGAAAATACTCTTCAGGATATTATCCAGGAAAACTTCCCCAACCTAGCAAGGCAGGCCAATATTCAACTCCAGGAAATACAGAGAACCCTACAAAGATATTCCTCAAGAAGAGCAACCCCAAGGCACATCATCGTCAGATTCACCAGGGTTGAAATGAAGGAGAAAATACTAAGGGCAGCCAGAGAGAAAGGTCGGGTTACCCACAAAGGGAAGCCCATTAGACTCACAGCAGATCTCTCAGCAGAAAATCTACAAGCCAGAAGTGAGTGGGGGCCAATATTCAACATCCTTAAAGAAAAGAACTTTCAACCCAGAATCTCCTATCCAGCCAAACTAAGTTTCATAAGTGAAGGAAAAATAAAATCCTTTGCGAACAAGCAAGTACTCAGAGATTTCATCACCACCAGGCCTGCTTCACAAGATCTCCTGAAAGAGGCTCTACACATAGAAAGAAACAACCAGTACCAGCCATTCCAAAAACATATCAAATGGTAAAGACCATCAACACAATGAGGAATCTCCATCAACTAACGGGCAAAACAGCCAGCTAGCTTCAAAATGGCAGTGTCAAATTCACACATAACTATATTAA